TTTTTTTTTTTTTCTAGCAATTTTTCCTGAATTCGAGAAAATTCTTCAAAATGTAGGTACCTTTACCTACGACCCGTGTTCAATTACCTACTCTCATTCAAAAAGCTACCGAATATAAAACGTTTCGAGCGTTTTCAAGGAACAAAGAACCATCGCCGTAAAACGAATAGCGCTGTGTACATATTATATTCCGTTTCGCTTTACTCGGAATCTACAATTATTATCATTTGTACTGTGATATTTTTGCTGAATTGATAATGTGATTATTACAATATTTTAAATTGAAATAATTTTTTCGTTCTTACGATTATAATTAAATTCGTTTGTGTTTTAATTACAAAAATATACTATAGCCTACGTCGAAGTATCCGAAAATAGTTATAATATAATTCTTTTTATTGTTATTATTATTATTATTATTTTTTAAATAATTAAAATAACAGTTGTTGCAATATCTATGGCGCAGTGAAACAAAACATTTTTTATTATGTATTCAAATGGCGTACTTTATGAAATATTAATAAATATTATAACAATATTATACAAGATACATCTATACTTATTAACTATTGATTTTATTTAAATAAATTAACAAAATAATAATAATAATAATAATAATTTGCATTAGGTATATCAAATTTTTTTTTTTTTTGACGTTTTTAAAAATAATTTCATTGAAATAAATTATTTTTACAATAGTATATTCGAAATATTATTATGTCTTCCGTTTTGACCAAGAGTCGATAGTTAAACTAAAAAAAAAAAACAACAACATATATTTATATAATATATATAATATTGATGTTTATTTTTATTATAATTTTGACTGCAAAATATTTTATACAACATAATATTTTACCTTAAAAAATTATTATTTTAATACATTTTTTAGTTTTTCGTACATATATGTTGCTCTTTTGAGTGTTCATATTGAAACAATTAAAATTATTCGATAAACACTAGCGTAATACGTGCAAAAAACAAAAATGTTTTATAGCTATTGTAATGCATACTAATACAATATGTGTAGGGGTTTTGACGACGGTACAGGTGAATTGAAAAAAAAAGAAAGGAAAACCGATGAGGCCTCACCAAAACGAAAGCTTTTCAATTTGGACACTTGGTCGAAACAAGTATTTCAAGGACGACAAGGGCGACGTTTCGTTTCAACGAGATGTCCATGTAATGCGCAATAACAACAAAAAAAAAAATATGCCAAATCGTACGGTTCTACCGGCGATAATACGAGTTCTTTAACACAGAATATTGTGTACATCCTATTACATCAGAATAATTATTTTGAACCTGGTCACACTTTTGTAACAAAGTTGATTCGTTCACGGTAAGTAACATTTTTGGAGTTAAAAATGAAATATTTATTTGCCTAGTGCTCAGTAAATTACTGAACATGATTAACATTCGTCCGACGTGCATAGGTACAATTTGTGACTTTTGTATTTCTAAACTGCTATAACTTTTTTAATAGAAATCGTAAGGATCTGAAATTGTATGCGATTTTTACGGTTTTTTAATTTTATTATGTAAGCTGAATTTGAGAAAAAAATATAGCCCGTTCCCAAAATATGGAGTTTAATTGTATTTACACTAATCAGTCGTACAATTGCACCTTCATATATTTTGTATGAAAACAATGTCTGAAAAAAGTGACGTCAATATTTTTCTGAATACTGTTTAGGTTTAATAGAAAAAAAATAATGCATTATACTTTAAATACAGTATAAAAGAAAAATTAGGAAAATGTTTTATTTATTTTCTAAAATAGTATATGTTTTTTGATACTGAATATTCAACGTGAACGGATTGTATAAAAATCGCACGGTTTTTGTATATTCGCTGTTTTCCTTTTTTGTTATTTTCGCTTCTGGTTTCGGGAGTCTTTACGACTTCCAACAATCGTAGTTGCTGACGTCTGCTATGAGGTATGTTAGAATTACTTGCTGCTTCTGGTTGCATTACAATGCGTCGTCCCAGTACTATTTCTACTGAACTTTGAAAAAAATTGCTTTTCATCAATATCCGGTCTGTACTTCAAGTTTTAATTGAAATCATACAGTACACAACTGATTGACGAGATTTTTCAGAAATTTCTCCGTTGATTTTTTGTTTTAAATTGTGATTGTGTTTTCTAAAAATATTATATGAAACTATGCTAGCGATTGTAGAAAAACGTTAAAGGCTAACGCGATATTCATAATTTTAAAATTTACTGAGTCAGCATTTTATCCGTATTGTCAACCACATCTTTAGTTTATTTTGTAGTATTTGATTATTTCTGGCTTGACTAATTAAATCTGAGCGATTTATCCCATTGTGTGTATAGATGATAGAAGTTTGATCTTTCCTCGCACCTATGAACAGACGTCTGCTTTATGCAAATTGGTTGAGTATACACTGATCCAGGCAAACGAAAAAAATGATCGAATTAGTTAAATTTTTTTTTTTCATATAAAATTAATTATTATTTTCTCCGTATAACTTGATTTCCAAATGTGTATAACATGCAATTATCAAACACCAAAATTAACGTACATGATAAAGTATTCTACACTGACCGTAGCTTAAAATGCTCACCAAACTTTTATGTTTAAACATGTGATTTATTCGAATAAGTACTCTTTTGTTTACAAAATAATATGTACAGTGTACAAAAAACTACATTTTCCAATACTTCGATTTTATTTTTAAATTCTAACTCGAGCGTATCTCAAGGGAATAAAGAGATTTGTTTTCCAAACAAGACTGCCATTTTTTTTTAATGCAAATAATACTTGCTAATATTTCTGAAATACTCAGCCTATAAAAATTAAACAATACATATTTGGGTTGCCCATCCAGACCACATAGTGGTTAGATTAGATTAGGTGTATGAAAATAATATTCCCGACGTTTTATGCAATTCTAAAATCTAAAATCTTGAATTTTGTAGTTAGGTTTTACAAATAATTTTTATTCCTCGTTTTAGATTTTGGAATAACAATAATAATATTTGAAATTCTAAGATAGCTAACTAATATTTTTACAAGGACGGAGTATTTTTCTCTGGACAATTTTTTTTGGCCAATACATGGCTCAGATTGTAATACCATACAAATACGAAATTTCTAGTACTATTTTTTATTATTACTATTTTCTGAGTTACCTGGGAAAAAACACGGCTAATACTACATCATTCAAAATCATTTTTCTTATATAAACATTTATCATTTTACATACTACACAGTATAATCTATAAAATAAATTACCCTACAATTAATATCGGCATTACAATGGTGTGAAGTATCTATGAATTTTTTATTTGATGGTATAATATTGTAATAGAATATAACCTAGTTGTGTTTGCGTTTAATTAAAAAAAATTTAAATATTGGGAAAATCAATAAAATGATATCGTAGTGTGGTAAAATAAAATGAAATTTTGGAATTTTATTATTCTAAAATAGAAAAACTAAAGAAGAGCTAATACCGGGGACGGGTGCGGCCATTGTTGTAGATAGGTAGTTGGTAAGGTAAGAATCATAAAATAATTTAATTTATGCCTTTAATCAACGATCAACAATTGCTATCGAAAGAAGATTCAGAGTGAAGTTCGGTGCTACGTATTTTGAATAGCCATTTTAAAACTTATAAAAAAAAAAATTAAAATACTACATTACACTCAATCATGTATTTAACTTTTACCATTTAACATGTTGATCCTTCTGACAAATTTTCAAGTATTTCTGTTACGTCTAACAATTTTATCCACAGAGTACCTGCCAAATAAAAATTACGTACAAATCTCGCAGAATTAAAATGTTTATAAATAACTCAAAAATGGCTAAAATGTTTTGAAAATGTTACCACGTCTAGAAAAGCCAAATATAAGTAGTGTTCTGTTTAAATCGTTGAGCTTTTTATAGACATTTTAATTTTACGAGGTATTTCACGGATTTCAGGTATTTTAATGCATTACCGTAATTATTTAAATATGTGAATATGCGGTGAAATTCTACCTATAAAGTAGATTAGGAGTTTTACAAAAAAATATATGTATGTATATATATATATATATTGTATATGTATCTTATACAATTGTTAAGTTGTAAAAATATTGAATTTTGCCTATGTTAAAAAAATACTGTCGGTATATTGTTCCGATACTTTCAATTGTAACATCCTCTCCGCATTGTTAAAAATATCATATAATATGGTAAAAGTACTTTAAAATTATTTCCGCATGATGGATATAGTTATCCCAATCATGTTCAGAATATTATAACATAACGTTGTACCAACCTTGAAAACTAAAATCCCGAACATTAATAATATTATAAATAATTAAAATAAATTCATATCTAATGTTTGCGCGTTTTAATAACTAAGCCTACGCAACGGACGGACGGGACCCATTGCACAACGCGTACGCATATTATACGTACACATACTCGCGCGCTTATGTACCCACGAACAGACACGGAGGCGGCGACAACGGAGGGGAGCGGCGTGTGTGCGAGGGGAGGGGTAAGGGGGTAAGGGCCGGGGTGTCGGTGGTGTTCAAGTCTTGGATATAATAATATCGGCGACGGGGTAGGAAGCGGCGGAACACGCGGCGACGTAAAGGCTGGCAATTATTATTATTATTATTATTTATTTATTTTATTTTATTTCACTTTTTTTTTTCTTTTTTTTTTTTTTTGGGGTAAGGTCTGGGGCCCGGAGAGCGGCGTGCATCCGCCAAGCTTGTCCGGCGGCGTCACGTCGCACTCGAGAGGAGCACACAGTCAGTGTGTAGTGTAGCGCGCTCGCGACAGTATCCCGCCGACGCGTCCGCGTCACACGACCGCCGCCGAAATCCGTCTCTCCGTTTCTCGTTTCGCGTATTATATTGTGCCTATTGTACGTATACCTAATAATAATAGTTATAAAATTACCGTTGGCGTTTTTCGTATATTAGAATATATAATATTATTATCGGCTTTTTTTTTAACGTTTTTATATATATTTTTTTTTTTCCGTACGAGTTACGTTTACACAATACCGTTTTGTCCCCCGGCCGCCGTGTATCCTCGTTCGGTTTTCGCCGTAGTGTATACCAAGTGTATTCGTTTGTGGTTTCCCCCTTACTCCTCCCCCTCCCCCGGTCAAGTATCGCGGCTCTTTATTTTGTGATCGTCGGTTTTCCGGTGCACGATTTAAGAACGATACACCAAGCAAAAATCCGGAGCTATTTTCCTCATTTGTTTTTCCCTCTCACCCTCGAAAACGTGTTTCGAAACAAAGTGCGATGCTACAGACGACGGTCCTATAGGAATTTAAATCAAACCTACTAAATGTGAGTATCTATTTTATAAATTCTATACGTCATGGCGTACTGCGAATATATTTCCTGCATTTATAGATAGGTATGTTGTTTAGGTATATTTTATAGGTCTAGCTATAGATATTAGTAGGAAAAAAAATATAATAATATTTTGTTTAGAGTGATTCGATATATTAAACAGAAGGCGAAGGTTTGCGTAGGTAATTCGACGATAAACGATGTCACGTCTCGGTTAGTCGAGAGTATTTTTTCTGTGTTTTTTTTTTTTGTTTTACTTTAAAATGACTACCAAAAAACTCGTCAGTTTTCGAAACTCAATGAAGCTACCAATATAATATAATTGCAAATGAACGCATTGAAATTAGTCATTTCGAAACGTGACAGCATTTGCAGCGTCTACGCATTATTTTAATGAGAACGAAATTTTACGAAAACCTTTCTCGGTGTATCGACTCAAATAATATTATATTAATAATAAAATAACTGTATTTTTGCACAATTTGTGTCGTGTGATATGTTTCGTATTATCAATGAGAGTGTGATTACATTTAGTGATCGTTTTTAATTTCTAATAAAAATTGGTGATAAAGTAACTTGACGCTATAATATTATATAAGTAGGTATGTGTTAATTCATTTGTAATTATGTAATACAATTATAATTATTAAATATGCAAAATTATTAAAAATGGTTTTTAATTTAGTAATTCAATTATTTTTTTTAGGCACTAGGCTCTTTGTGTATAAATTTATTAAGAGAAAAAATTAATATTATATATTTTCTTTGTTGTACTTGCCAAAATATACATATTTTTTAAACCCATATACTATGTACATTAATGTAATAGATTAATTTAAATATGGAAAAGTACTTCTGTAAATGTAATTTCAACTTCGAATCGATTTGGTCGCAGACGTACCACTTAAAAGAGTTCAATATTTTAGTTAGGAAACCTTTTTTTTTTTTTAAGATTTTTGGTTTAAATTGAATTTCCGAATTTCCCGAGATGGTTTGAAAAGTCATTAAAAATTAAATACTGTCGTAAAATGTTTTTAATAAATTAATAAAAATAAAATCATATTTCTATATAACTCCTTAATCGAATGGTTTTTTTTTCGATTATAAATGTATTTATTAAACGCTCATCCTTTTAAAAATTGAAATAATTTCACGTAGAATGTACATGGTAAGTTTTAAGTTTGTTTGTTTTTGTTTGAATAAATCTTCTTGCAATCATATTATATTTATAAATATTGTGTTGGTAAAAGTTGATTGTTTATTGAAAAAAAAAAAAATAGATATTTTCATAGGGATAAAAATATAATATTTCGAGTATTTAAGTATTATTACATAAGTATTTAAATTTCTATAAGCCCATAAAATATAACCTTCAGATTATTTAGTTTTATGAATAATGAATTGTTTTTTGTCATTTTAATAAAGTAAAAATAAAAACTAATAATAATTTCTTTTTATGTGTTGCAAAATCTTGTTGCCGACTTTAAAATAATATCTGAACGCAATTCATTGTAAATAACAATTGAACCATGTGGTAATGAAGATAGTCATATTTTAATGACATGCTTAACTACTTGAAGTCGTTTTCTACTCGTGTATAACCAAGGAAAGTATATTTTTTGTCTTCGAACATAAATACAGACCCCCCTTTAATAAAGTCTAGGATTCTAATCGTGTATATGTATGACGTTATATAGTATTAATGATGTATATTTTTGGGAGATTTTAACATTCAACCTCCACCCCTACTATTTGCTATTGGATAGTGTTGTATAATCAATCGAATTATTCGAGTACATATTGTTTTAAAAATAATATTACTATAATACAAAATAGGCAGCGGAGAGGTTAATTTGGCTCTATTACTCACAGGTGTTTAAAAGGGTACACACATTTATTGAGAACACTGTAAAAAAGAAAAAAACTAAAAATTGGAATTTGAATATAATAAATGTCTACAATTTTAACGCGAAGTCCATAATTCTTGTAATACATTTTTTTTTCTAACATTTACTCTTCTTTCACTCAGCCCCTGATTTATATTCGTTAAAATATCGAATATTTAAGCTAATTAGCAAATTATTTTATTAATTACATAATAAAAAAACGCGCGTTTAATGGCCAATAACGGCATAATATGTAATATAATATGTTTTGTGTATTGTGGTTTTTTTTTTTTGTAAAAATGTTAACATTTTCGATTTATTTATTAAGGACCACTACATGATGTATACACTACAGGCACCAATTAAATTATATCAATTTAACGCTTATATCGAAATCGTAATTTTAATTGAAAGTAAATATCGTTATTTCCGTATAAAAACTCGACTCCCCTTCCACGAAAATAATTACATGGATACATAATCGCTCTTCCTGCATTTTTATATTTTTTACGCAAATGTAAATACCACAATGTAATTTCTGTTCAATTATAACTATAATATATGTTATTGTATATACGCCCATCTAAAATAGATATATAGTATTATAGCGCAGTGACATCTTTAAGATTTTGCTAAGCACGAAAATATTGAATGCTTAAAAATTTTGTTTTACGTGTACCCAGGTTAAAAAAAAAAAAAAACAAAATCAATTTTTAATGTTTTTAAAATGTTTGTAATTAATGTAAAATATTTAATCTATTCTATAATTATCATTTTAATTGAATGTCCAACTAAAATAGGTACAGAAAAATGCTAGGTAATGACTAATAAAAAAAGTTAGAAGTTACTTTTTCTGAGATAAATTTTAGCTTATTAACTAGGAAGTTAAAAAAATAATAATTTCAAATAATAACAATTACTTTTTGAAATAAAAACTTTTAACATAACTTAGTTATTTTGTTAAAACTTAAGGTCTAAAAAATAATTTTTAGTTTTGTAAAAAAAACTGTTCCTATACCAAATATGTTTTTGCATTTATTATCAATGCAAGTTACTTTTTTTTATGTGCAAATTATTATCAAACAACAATATGAACATTTTTTTATGCAGGTTAATGTGATCCTCATTTTTGACTTTACAATTTTTAACCAATTTCCCTGTTCCCCCATTTTGTTTTACCTTATCTAACCTAACCTTAATTATAGAAGATCTATGACTATAATATAACAATGATAAAATTTCTCATGAATTTATAATTTTCTGAACAAATTTATAAAAAAAAACCTTAATTATGTAACTATTGAAAAACATGTCTTTTGATTATATTGACGGGTTGTTAATTTTTAGTTTTTTTTCAATGTTTCATAGTTCGTCATACCTACCTGCAGTTTTGTTCAAATGTTTTAACCAATATGGACGATCTGTTACACGTTAAAAAAATCTCGAGTTAACATATACCATAATCCTGTTTAAGTTCTGGATATTATACACTCCAAACGCTTTCTTTTAGATACACTGCGCTACTATTCTCTATATTTGTATCATTTTAAAATAGCTTAACAATTAAAAGCATGTTGAATCGCCAATCTGCTCGATCACGTGGTAAATAAAACGTAACACCTATAAGTGTTATAACAGTTATAATCTCTTTACAAAACAGTCGAAATATGGCGAAAACAATGATATCCATTCGCTATAATAATATAGAGATTTAAATGTAGAGGTTTTTAACAAAATATCCGTACAATTTTCGAACGTACTGACCGAATATTGTTCGGAACACTACCGTTGTGTCATAGTGTCATACTTCGACACGAGGAAAATTATTAACGAAATTCCGTACAGGTAATAACTGATTATTGTCGTATTGGACAGATAGGAAAAAAGAAAAAAAAAAGAGTCAAATATTTAAAAATACATTTTCGTTTTCAAATATTAGTTCATTGTTTCAGTTTTGCATTATGGTTTATAAATAAATATCTATAGTATCAAAAATTAACACTGAATGTACTATTTTTAGGACAAATAGTTAATATTTTTAATATTTTAAATTTATTGTTTAAAATTTGAGTTTTAAATTTAAAAATAAATTGTATACAATTTCTTTTTTACCTTTTATCAAAAATAAAAGTCGCATACAATTTTAAAACTCTAGAGACAAAGTATCTCTAAGACAGACTTGGTTACGCAAAAGTACTAGTTTAGTTTTTAATATCTGATACTTTCAATTCCGAAAATCTCATGACAGCAGAAACAAGGATTACCAAACCTGTTCTTGATATCAACCTGCTTTTTGGCATTTTTTAATGGATTTATTTTCATTTATCAATCGTCATTGCATTTGATAAAGTGATGATTATATCCACTTTTAAATGGTAAACTTATATGTAGTTTAAAACCTGAACAATTGTTAAATATCAAGATTTTTAAATACCCATGAGATTATCATAATAATGTAACTAGTGATGTTTTTATATATGGTTGTAACGTTTTATAAAATGTTTACGCACTTATAAACAATCTCGTATTCATAATTACAATATTCATAAAAATTATCGTAGATCGGCTCGAAGCTTTTCAGGTAGTTATAGTTGTCGTCGACGTCGTCTTAAAAAGCGGAAAGGACCTTTCGGTTGTGATTTTAAAAGTTTGTTTCCGTGCGTCCGTTATCTTGCTCAGTGCAATCTGTATTCTATGGTTATCCGTTGTTAAAATACTGTATAATGTAACGAAGCAAAATGTTTACAGAAAATTGCATCATCAAAACACGAAAAATGTTTATAGGTAAAAAAATTTTAGTATAGTTATTAAAGGTATGTGTAATTTACACACGTTTTATTATCCCGATTATTATTACACATATGCTTTTTTTTCGCTTTTATAACACGAATATTTTAGTATTTGGAATAAAATAAAAGTTTTTTTTATATGCTTACGCCCTTACCCAATCATAGATAACAATACTTAATTGTTAGCTATAATTATTTTTATCAAAAGTTTAATAATATAAACAATTTAAATATTCATAAAAAAGCTAATTCATTATAAAACAAGTTTAACATCCGGATACGAGTAATTAAATAATTTTCTATAAATTTGATTTATATAGTTGATAAGCTATCTAATTATTTGAGTGATTATAAGTAGATAGGCTTAATTTACAAATTACGTTGAACATTAGACACTATCATTTGTACTCTATTGCCGGTCGGGAGTCGGCTTCCATCATAACAATCGTCAGGGAGACACTTTTTCCAATGGTTTATTAAATTAAAACTGAAACCAAAAAATGTGTTGAATTGGAATTTAAAATAGAAGTCAAAAAAAAAATGATCTGTATCAGTTATTTACCAGTATTATTAATCAAAACCAATAATACGCTAGAATTTTATCACATTAATAAAAGGCTGCTGTAAGTATTCTGTGAACATTTTAGATCTCTACAATTATTTTTAATCTAATTACGACAAAATACATTTTCCCATTTTCCCTGCGGTTTTTCGGGTCTTCCTAATTATTATAAAAACTACAAGTAAAATCCAAAAATGACTTCTTAACGAACCAACTAAATTCGAAATACAAAAAAAATGGTCTCTAACCATTTTATGATTGGAATAAAGTTTTTGGTAGAACAGTTGTTCACAAATACAAAACAAAACAATTCTCATTACGCTTAGAATAATATTTTTTGAAATGGAATTATTTTACTATTAAAACGTAAAAAACGACGAACATATCAAATTAAATAAATACAATAAGAAGATAATCATACATTTACGCAATATTTTAATAGAATATAGATTATGGAATACAAATCAGGATACGTGTATGTTCTGTATATTTAGTCGATTATCGTATAGTGAAAACATTAATCTACTATCTTATTATACGGCGACAAAATTAACTTTAAAATTTGAATAAAATTGACCACAGTTTTCGAAAACTTTGTTGTGAATTTGGCTAGCCTTAAATTATATAATTCTAATCTGTGTCAATTAAATGATCAATTTAATACAATTTCACCTTACTTTTCAAGAAAAAATGAACTGGGTAGAAAAATGTAAGTGTGTTATTTTATCTTTTTTTTAACCGTTCGTCATATATATATATTCAAATTACCATAACAAATCAATGTATTAAAATAAATGCATAGTTAAGTATTTTATCAGAAAATTATTATACATTAGGAAATATCTCGTAAAGAAACTTTTTATAGATAATTTAAGTTATACATTTAAAGTATTGTGGATTTTAATTTAAATGCAACAGTTTTTGAAATAAATTCAAAAACAATCAATCAACTTTCTTTGGTCATTTTTAAATCTTTTTGAGACACGTGGAGGGGTTGAGCACTATCACTAAATATCACCAAAATTATTCTCTTATATTGACAAACAAAATGGTGGGGTGGGATGCTTGATGTAAATTATTTAATTTATTTTTTATCTATAGAATATAGACCATATTAATGTAGATATATAGAATATCCCCTTGAGTTTTTACAAAAACATCGACGGGGAGACAAAAAAGTACTTGGAAATCAATACGAGCGAATAATTCAAATAAATTGAAATTGAAAATTTTATTTAGCATACATTTGAGAATTTTTTTTGTTGGCCCATTCTCCCTTCAATGTCACATATGGGACACCCAAGGCAGCCTTGTATTATAATTATTCTTATACAAGTCTATATATTAGAAAATAAAATACGTGTATAAGTGCATAATATAGGGTAATTTGAAAAAAAGTATGTTTTAACTTTTAAACTTGACTAAATGACTTACTATTTTCTTGAAAATTTATAACTTAACGTAATAAATGAAACTTATTTATATTTTTAAATTACCTTTAACTTAGCTTAAATGTTTTTTTTACAAGATCACTTAACTTGTACTAGTTGAACAAATTGATTAAATTGCCTAACTTTAGGTAATGGTTATAGATAATTTATAATATACTTAAATTATAACTTATAGAATGTAATTTAAAATCCTTCATTTTATGGCGATTCAGATATGGATTTCATTTTTAATTACTATATGTACAAACACATTAAATTGTTGATTTTTCTGACTAAAATATAAAGAAATTTAAATTTAAAATTAGGTGGTTACATAAATAATATATACTGAAAAAAGGTTGTGGGTGTAGATATATCTTCCTAATTTCCCATTCTCCCTCATAAATACGCCACTGATATATTATACAGTAAAATGCTTAAGCTATGTAGCCCCTCCTCTTTTAGGGTATGCGTTGTATTTAATTCTAATAGTAACACGGAATATTTCAGTCAAACGGACTTGGATTAAAATGGAGGATTAGAATGATCGGTGTACAAAAATATAAATGTTTAGTCTATTTTCAAAATGTTAACCCATACAGTATTCATGTACGTAATGAAATTTACATTTTCTTGAATGGAAATATCTTTTTTAACACTAGATTTCAACCAGATTTTATTTTTTTTTTCAAACCACTATTTTTTATTCTATCATTAAAATCGCTTGAGATACAGCTATCTAAAGTTTAAAAAATAGTACGATTTTTTTCTTCTCAATGTTTCAATACATTTAAAACGTATATGAATTTAATAGTGACAAATTTGACTACCTACTATTTTGCAGGGGGGAGGGAGGTATATATAAGTATGTAATATTAATCACAAAATTAAGTGTACATAATTGCATATGGGTACATTTAAAATTTTCTAATAAACAGAGGAATAAATCGTTTTATTTTTAATCGACATTTGATAGTAATAATATGATTCTAGATAATATTTGAGTTTAAAAAAGTATTGATCAAAGTCACTTATATATATATATCCGGAATATTCGGCGCTAAAAATTTATGTGTTCGGTTCGATTTATAATTCCGCGAGGCCAAAATATTTCGTGTTACCATCATAGCCATTCAGCGAGTGTAACTCATAACTATACATATTATTATATTGTTGGAGTGTATATTATTTTATTTTACAGCTGATATTACAATAATTTAAGGACTACGGGTCGGTATGAAAGGTTGTTAAAGAGAGATTTACACCGTTATTTTGGCGGGTTTGTTATTCAAAACAGATGTGTCGGATAACGATAATATTAACGCATTGCATTTTTATTACCACTATACAGTATAGGTGTAGTGCGATATTTTAAATTTCTTTTAGTGTGTAAAATAAAAAAAGTTATGGTTCGCGTATCGCACACATCGTCTGCAGCATCAGCGTGCGAAATATGATATTTTTAAGAGTGATGCTCCGTATACGTATCTCTTATTATTTTTAAGTTTTAAAATAAAATCCACGATATTATATTATATTATAATTGGCACATATAAAGTTTCTCTTATGTATTAAAAAACAAAAAAAAATTAACTACCTATCTAAACATTGTAAAAACAAAAGTAATTTTGATATCATAATAGTTATTGTTTTTGTTAATTGTTCTCGAATTTCGTTTCCTTTTTTGTATTTCAATCACTGCACGCGATTATAACTATGGCCGGGCATTTTTGCAAGGAGGTCTTTTTGTATCCAAATATGGACACACGTCACACAGTTACAAGTCCATTAGACACAAACCAATAGAGCACGGTTTTACTTATTTTGTGCTCTAGAGAATAAAATTGTAAATTATTGAACTGGTAGATTTTGGTAATAAAATATTGCATTTTTTAAAGAAAAATATATTCTCACTGGAAAGGGGAGGAATAACTGGGAAAACTTAAGGTAAAAGAAAAGGTTTGGTTTATATGTATGTGGGGCATTGTTAAAGGATATTTTGAATTTTCAAAATTTACCCTTATGCTATAAACACACTATGTTAATAGTATTTACACGGGTCAAGTTGGTTAGATGAGCTACATTAACGTATACGATTTTTCTATTTATGTAATGAACGAAGAACGCAAAAAAATATGATTTCATTCTTTCTTTTTGATGCCTATCTATATTTTATCAAAATATGGATAAGATAAAAGTAGATTAAAAGTAAAGATTTTATTATTACTAACTGAAATTTAATTTAACAGATAAATATTTGTTTGATTGTTTTCTTTTTTGTGATTTTTTATCTCCCCTACCCGGATAAGTTATTTAACAAAAAAAATACACATCATTTTCCGATCACCGTGTATCAGCTGCCATCATATAAATTTTGACGGGCGTCTACCGCGGTTGAAATCATTCGCACTTTTATACAATACGTCTGTAACTATACTCAGTCGTTCATTCTGTGCGCGTTTAGTTCTCGATTTCATACTCGACTTGTTTCACCGGAAAATATTATTCGTCAATATTATCATAATATACGCCATCGGTGTGTATACGGATTGTGTATCCGAAATATGGTTTCACGAATACCGCGAGACAGGCAATCAATCTTATTATGGACTGCGCGCGTTTTGTAATAAACTATTACTGCGGGAGCACTGAACCGTAGAATAATCGTTAAAGATTATAAATTTATAAACAACGCGTATTTGTCCTCCAGTACTAAATTCTCGTTAAATTGATGCCCTCCGAGATGATAAGATTAAAGGCTGCTACTGCTAGGCGACGATGTTCTGGTCGTGCTACGGAACAACCCACAGATGCGAGACATATTGGAATACTTCAATAAGTATGATATTATTATACTATTATTTTTATTACCTCCCTTGAAAAAATTATGATTAATCTCGTGATAATAAATATTTTAAATCGAATTACAACAACAAAACAAAAAAAATCTGTTTTAGGATAATGGAGACGGACGCAGCCACTATTAAAGGTATTTTAATGTATACCTATGAGCAAAAATAAACTAATTCTAACGAAGATTCTGAGCGGAGTTTATTCGATAGTAATTCTTTAGCAACAATATATATATATGCCATATTATAGTAAAATAATTAAATAGACATTAAATGTTTTCTTTAATAATATTTGTTTAATGTTGTACCGATTTTTCCATCTTTCCTACGTTTTTCCTGGTTTTCCCATGTTTTTCCCGGTTTTGTTATATTTGCTGGAAAAACTCTTGAGAAAATCAAAAAATAACCTCTTCAAAGTACTTCTCCAGTTAAATTTCCTTTCAGAAAAAGTGCTATCATTGTAAATTGGAGCAAAACTGCTAGTAGAAATTTGTTCACAAGATAAAAGAAGACCGTAATATTTTTTAACTAATACCTACATTTATTATATTTTCCCGTTTTTCCTCCGGTTTATTTTTTGGTTTTTCACATTTGATAAGAAAACTCATGAGAAAATCGAAAAATTATCTCTTTAAAGTACTTTCCCAGTTAGATTTCCTTTTAGAAAAATTCAGAAATCATTGAATACAAAAAAAGTTTCTGTGCATATAGTTTATATGATATTTGAGTGTATATATTATACTATATTATTATTATTATTGCGCAAATGGGTTCTCGTCAGAATCACACTGTAACAACACATTGCTTATCCTAGTCAATAATATTTTAGATTAGGTATTCTAAGGTATAGTGGTATAGAATATAAGGTTCATCTCTTATTTCTACGAAATCTAAATTGTCAAAACTTTAATTTCTGTATCTATTTTTATTGTATTTACGTATATTACATTTTAAAGAACGCTTACATAGCATATTGAGTTTAAAACAAAGAACTCGAGCCTTAAGTTACAATATTTATGATGTTGACAGGTAAACGCAGTGCATACTATATATACGATTGGAAAAACATTTTTTTTTTTTTTTCATAATAACTTAATAGTTTTTAATAGCATAGTAGTATAATTGTATAATATCGCAGAAGTGTGTGCCTGTTATATCGAAAAACTTTCCGATACAATATTTTACCGTTCGGTATCCCATAACGAGTACCGGTCAATGTGTAAATTACAGCGGAATAATATACCGGATAAATAAAATATTGTTTAATGGTACGCTGCAATGTGTAGGAAGCTTTATTTCATACATTTTATGAAAATTACAAAGAAAAAATATATTTACTTCTGCTATATATCTGTAACTAGACAAAATGTTCTACCAGAACCCACTCTTAAAGTTGATGGTTGGAGCAAAATTACTGATATAAAAGTGGATTACAGACAGAAAAAATACATATCGTTTGTATGACCGTGATCAAGTGACATTTTGATACGACGGTACGGCCAAAATTAACAAAATACTGAAATAGCATTTCTTCAATGAAAACTAATTCAAAATCACATAAACGTACATAATAACGATTTTGATGATTTAATATTATACTAAGTATTGTACCCACGTTGCAGAAGAGAGAACTTTCGAGTATCGTAATATTAATTATTTTGTAAAAATAAAAAAGCTGTATACTTTATAGGAAATGTACGTCTTTTAATTTTGGGCCGAGTAAAAATATCAAAACGTTAAATTTAAGTTTTTTTTTTTTTGAAAACAATAAAAAATACATTTCGTTTTTACAGTGTGTAATTATTGCAGTGTAGATATTAAAATAAAATATATTTTTTCCGTAATTTCGTTTTAATGCGTGTGTTTTAATGTAATTTCACGGTTCTTTGTTACGAAACGTAATTTTTTTAGAGTTATGACGACGTACAACAATAATATTGTTGTAATCAAAAGTTGTTTATGTTAAACCGAATCTTGAAAATCTTTAAAATCCTCAGTTATACTATTTTTTTTCACTTTTTTTTTTTTTTTGAAGTTTCAACACGAAAAATGGCTTATTCGTATTGTGTAGGTACGAATAAAAACCCCGTTTGGATAACTTTTTGAACATGGCAACTTAAAATTAAAACTCTTATTACATCGACTTAATCCCTAGACGCAAATTTAAAGTGTCGTAAGAAGTGCGCAGTCTTTAGATTATAACATAATTTTAAATTACTACAGGCAAGGGATAAGATGAAAGATTTTTTTTCCCTTTTAGAAATCGACATCTTAAGATATAAAAACCAAGCAGTGTTGAGGTTGAAACATAGATAATAAAAAAATATTTAGATAGGTACGTCAAATTAAGATAAATTATTAGAAATCTGTTTCGATAATATTAAAAGTTGAATTGAACAAATATTACCTGGAAAATAGATTAAAATGAAAGATAACCATAATTTATTTGAATAAAAACATAGATTTTCGAAAATAATGATTGCATTTTAAAATCGTATTCAATGTTGAAAATAAATAAACTGTCAAAATAATGTGTAACATAGTAATATCTATTATGAAGTTCAATTAACTAGCTTATATGAAACAATTTTTTTTTTTTGGATTCTGAGCGAAGCCATAAAATTTTGATACTCTTGTACCTGGAAAAAATTTCCCTTACAACGATCATGAAATCGCTGTATTACTTAATATTATAAGTAACATCATTATTAATTTTAATTTTAATGTAATATTGTAATCGTAATTGCCTATTCTTCATAAAGTATAACCATACAGAATATTTATTTATCCGGACACACTTTTAGATAAGTGCATTTTTACCAAAGATAAATATAGGCAATTTTTATCTATGTAAGATAAAAGATAATTACAAATGTATCTAGATAGTGTATTTAGATAAGTCCCGACACTAAAGACGAGTACATAATATTATATAGATCTACAATCCATAAAATATGATGTACTGTGATTGACGGATACTTAAACCGAATTTATTCAGCGCAAACCTGTAAATTAGTTAATTAAAGACATCCGTGTAGAACAAAACTTTATTATCTTATATAATACTCAACTAATACTCATATATTATCATTACTTTGATAAACGAAAAATGCAATGTCTGTGACTATATTCTGATCAGCGACTATGATAATACTCTATGCTTTTCTCCTTATATTATTGTTCCCGGATCAGTTCAAAAACTTCACAATTCGCAATCTACAATAATAATAGTCTTAATAATATAATATATTATATTATGTTATACCTTGACATTTTCAAAAGCAAAACTGTATAAATGTATAGACGTTGTCTGGAATATAATTGTTATATAGGACGTGCTCGAAAAGAACGCCGATGATATAACAGTTTTCAGAAAATAATACTGTAGACGTGCGCGCGTTTTGTTTTTCAGCGGAAAAGGCTTATTATATTGTTATTTGGAAGACTAACTGAAAATAGCCAGAGAAAAAAATTGTACATATTTTTTTTTTGATCATATTTTCTTCAGTTTAGAAAAATATTTAATTATTTGAAAATATATTTTTAATGTTATCACCTATTGCGTTCTTTGAACATAATCCATGACGGTATAGTTATGAACACAATGCCAACATATTTTATCTTCTTTCCTTTGGACATTTTTTTCTCTAGTCGTAATCCACGATTAATATATGCCGTTATTTAAACATATTCAATGTAATGATACAATGGTACAAATTACAGAATCATATGGAACAGTATCATAGACAATTCTGAAAGCTGATAGAAGAAGAATAGAAGCATTCGAACTTAGTGTTAGTAAAGGGTGTTAAAATGTTCTGGACAAAATGAGGGTCCAATGAAAATGTGGATCATAAAATAAATGAAAACCTACATTCATGATACGGATGACAATCGAGAAGAAAAAAAAGTAACGGATATATGACACTTCCTAAAGAATAATACACGGATAACTTCTATAATTGCAATGAAAAATTGTAAGGAAAACGGAAGAGGAAGACCGAAACAGTCTTGTAAACGATTATGTTCGATTCAAGAATAAAGGATCCTATAAAGAATTGAAGGAAGTCACTACGGGCAGAGAGTACTGGAGAAACATATATGGATTGTTAAAAAAAAAAAAAGTAATAACAACATTATTAATTTACAATGGCGGCGGTGACGCAGACGTCCCATTCGGATGTTTTGGGTACGCGTAAACGCGTGAGCGATGTATACACTGGGTGCACACTAACCATGTACATACATTATACACGCGCATCCGGTATAAAAACATATTTGCGAACATATGCCGTTTTACATCGTGTACGTACATGGACCGCAAACTTAATCGCTTACGGTAATTCGTCAATATACATGTATATATATATAAATATAATACGAAGAGATCCCCCCCATCTTTCTCCCCCCTCCCGGGGAAACGCGTTAAGGGGGTAATCAAAAATCAATACTTTTGCTCTGTCTCTTCCGTTTCCGACACTGTACCATCACCGGCTGCAGCGACAAGTGATTTATTAGAGGAGTGAGAACGGCGGTTCGGATCCGTCCATAAATTATGCGCGCCGTTCATCGGACCGAAATGTTGATGGGCGCTAAACTTTTTGCAAGTCCAATTTACGATACCGCGTCTCGTTTTATCCGTTATTTATCGTCAAGGGTGAAATTTCCCGGCCTGAAATTAACGCACGTTCAAGGTCGGCTCTGCCGCACACACTAGATTTTGGATTCGTGCGACTCCTTCGCCTGCATCGATCTTGGCTACCGGCAGTGGCGTAAATTGACCCACGTGAATGTAGTATCTGCACCACCACATATAAAATACACGGTGGTGCTTAGTTATATTTTTGCACCACCAGAACCAGCAACTTATAATTTTAGTAATCATTCGTTTAATAGGTATACAAATTGTAATTTTCGTTATGATATTGTTTATGTATTGATAGGATAGCTACCATGTATGACGGTACATAGGAATATCGAACTAAATGACGTGAGTTATACCCACTAACATTTTTTATCCATTTTTACATGCACATAAATTAAATATCATTATTTAATAACAAGTTAAATTTGTTTACTGTTCAAATAATTCGATAGTTACATTTTTTTGATTTTTGTAAAAAAAAAAAAAGTTTTTTAGAAAACTAAATATTTCACCGTAACGCCCAGATTAAGACTTATTTACGCTACTGGCTACAGGGTTTAATAATCTTCATGTACCTATATACCTATATTACATAAGTATATAATATCTACTGACGTCGTTGTCGTCGTTTCGGTAACGTCACAAGGATCGTAGGCGTTTTTGATAGATTGCCGAGACCGTCCGGGCTTTCGTATCGTTACATTATACAGGTAAGTAGGTAGTCTTGACGTTCGATGAAAAAAAAAAAAATCATAATGTACGGGAATGCGCGGTCGACGAGAATAACGATATTTCTTAAAGCCGTACACTATATATAAAATGAGACCTTTGCAGGCCACAATGCGTCGGTTCGTCTCCTAAACACATATTATATTCGTATGGCAATAATAACACAGTAATGTTCATAATATACAATTATAAGTAAGATTAATAACAATAGTATGTAGTCAAATTTAGATTTCTATATCCAAGGTCCTAATTCATCCAATTGCTCCCTTCGTAACTTCATTAATTCCATTTTCCCCAATTTGAACCTTCTGTTTGGGCATTCATCTACTATATGCCTCATAGTCTGACTGTCGTTTCCACAATCACATTCCGGGCTGTTCTTTAGTTTTTATTGTATACACCATATGCCCACCATCTTCCGTGTCCTATTCTTAATTGGTTAAGGATTACTCACTCTTAAAAAAGAACCTCTTGAAAAACCCACTGCAGGGTATTAAATCTATATAATAAACCGGAAATTATGTTTAAATTTACGTATGAGTTCGGGTGTGTTTTGGTACATTTTAATTCCGGACGCTTACGAGTCGGTTTCCGATTGCCGGATTGGTTCCAGAAAGCGGTCTAGACAAACGAATTGGTTCCGATAAACGGTCGTTTTAATAATAAATAACAAAGTATTACTAACTGATAACAATTTTCTTATCTCCATTTTATACAGACTCGAAAAATCCTTATCTTCAATATGACCGTTAAAAATAATTTTTAAATTTTACAAAAACGGGGAAAACCGGTAACATGCCTCTTAAATGATTTCACTGTTATTTCAAATAACCAAATACAACTTCAAGGAAAATAACTTCTTTATAGTGTCCTAAGTGTAAATTAAAAACCTACTAGTTAGTCAACGAAAAACTACCACTGGTTAAGATAACACAAGGAGAAAATTGCAAATAATTTACTCGAACATACGTTATTTGTATTCGAACCAACTGTAAGTTGATTAGATAAATGCCGTTGAAATATCCGTTTATAACGCTTGCTGGAGTATATAATAATATGTAATTGATAAGGTATGCTTACTGAATACTGAAAAAAAATTACGCGATATCGGAAGAATCCATTTGCGTCTGTGAATCGCTTAATAAGTAGAGAACGTTAATACGATGCTCGGCCGTTTGTCTCGCTAGTCACTTAATATCCGGAAAATCAGTGCGGCCTTTTTTGGCCGATAATTTAATAATAATAAGATTAAATATTATGTAAATGTCTGCAGTGAACTCGGTCCTATTTAATACTTTGGGACTGCGGTTTTCATCGGAACGCCTCTATTATCCAGTCAGTTACGCCCTCGTGGCCCGTCTATTATTTCGTCACGGTCGCTTCGGGTTCCGAAACGGAGAACGACGGAGTAGATGAAGAGTTACGGAGTCGGCCATATTTTCGTTGTCTGAAAATGTTTTACATAATAATAAATGACCTCCTCTAACATAATAATAATAATAGGTACTCGCAGCAGTATTCGACCGCCGTCAAGACTGGAGAACAGCAAAGTCAATAAGTTATAGAATCTCTATAGGTACATGGAAAATCGATTGGTCGACCTAATTTTAACGTGAATAAATAATATATGATAATAATTGAGTTACTTTTATAATTAAGACTGGGAATGTAATGTCACTTAAAACTCCAAATATAGGTACATTCTGTTCGATAACTATTTTAGGGCAGTTCTTACGGACGAAAATAATTCCACGGGAACACTCTCACGCTTGGTAAAACACTCTAAATTCAATGTTTTATTTTTTATTTGAAAAAGAAAAACTTTTTACAGGTCACATTTTTAATGAATCAGTAGGTGATGTCAGAAAAAAAATTCATTTGAATTTTTGAGACGCTAAATACGGTATAATATGACCTACAAACCTTTTATTTTCTTTCAAATAAAAAAAAAAAAACATCAAAATTTAATAATATTTTACAAGTCTTAAAAGATTAAACTTCTATGAGGCATACATATACATTAAATTCCCCTCTATATTACCTTCCTAACTTTTCACTTACTACAGTTGCCAACCCGTCGTGCGAAAAATGTCCATCTTTATTAATAATTTTTTCATATTCCAGAGACACTATAGAGATTTGTCTACTTAAGTATCTGGGCAAATATCGATTTTGAAAAAAAAACCGATATTTATCGGTTTTAAATACTCGATTTTATCAGCTAGAATCGTTTTTCTTTAGCTATGGTTTATCGTTACTTACAGATATCAATTAAATAACCTTTTTTATCCTACCTTCCCAACTTTCCCCCTAAAACAGTAAAGCATCCATTAGTAGTATCAGCTCTTTTTTTTGTTAGTTTGACTTTGGTTGATTTCCGGGTTACATCCTGGCAACAAATTAAAAAACACAATTAATACTAATCCACTTAGAATCGATTTTTCATCTGTAATGATTTATCATTGCATACTGTATATAAGTTAAATTTCCTTGTATATCCAAATTTCCTGTTATTAACATACACTTATCAGTTGCCTACCCCTGAGCCGTATCAACTTTTTTTTTATCTTAACATTTTCGTGGTTAGAATTAATACGCATCATTTAATCTCTATCGGGAGACGCATAAATCCGGTGACTATCGCCAAAGTACCTGATTATAATTATCCTATAAGTAATATTTTACCTTTAGGTTATTAGGCTAGGATGATGTTGTTGTTATAAATTAAATTTTTCTCTGTGTATAAAACCCGTCCTATAACCCCACCTCTACTTATATTGTTTTTCGATTTTAAATTTAATCTATTGGATATTGAAAAAAAAAAAAAAATTGTATTATGTATAAAATATATTTTTCTCGTTATTTATCGGTAAATAACGCCGTTCGTGGTCTACGGTTTCAATATTACATACTGCCTACGGACTAATTGCAGTTTCTAAATTCGTTTAGCAATTTCAAAACTTTGTAGATACAATTTTTCATTTTTAAAATAGAATAGTTTGATAAAACTAGTGTACTAGTAATATATATTTAATATTCGAATAATATTAAAATATCTAATTACGTGTAAAATGGAATTATTTACTCACGGTTATTGAATTTTATAATATTTTATCATAAACGTATTGGTATGAAGTATATTAAATACGAAAAGTATCAATTATACTGGCTGACGAAAAATATATTATATTTTAGATTAATTTGTATGTGAAAAATAAATCATTGTTTTTATGTTTTAAAAACGATTCTGAGGAAACTTCTCAAAGCCTAAAAATGTTCGAACGAATTTTAAAAAAAAAGCCACGTACACCGTAAATTTAAATAAAATTCTGTAACTGTTTTTAAAGCTCACGGTTTTTTGTTAACTTTAATCCTTAATCAAAAAATGACCTCTTATAAGTACCACCTGTGTTCAATTTGACATCTATAGTCATGAGTACTCGAAACTTTTGAAACATTTTATACCGTCCGTTCTATTCGATGTTTTCTGGGGAAAAAAAAAAATAAGACTAATTGCTCTTTCGTTCCGCTCGGAATCATTAATTTAACCGAATGTCAGTTGTAATTATTTTATTTTTTTTCGAGAAAAAACAAAAAAAGTAACAATAATAAATAAAAACGGCAGACGATGTCGAAGGCTTGTCCAGATGTCTATTATATAGATAGATTTAACGGATACACGTAGTATTGATATTTATTTGTTTATTTGTTTTATGTGACAAAAAAATTTCAATGTGACTTAAAATTAAGTCTATGAAAATGTGGTGAGACTATGTTGTACGGTTCAGATCGTTGGGTGGGTAGAAAAATAGAACAGAGAAATTAATGTAGTAAAGATAAGAATGCCTAAATGAATGAGTGGAGTGACGAGAAGATGTGGGCATATTATGAGAGAAAATGAATCTGAAACATTAAAAATTGTAGTGAAAATAATCGTAGGAGGAAAGAGAGGAAGAGGAAGACCGAAAAAGAGGTGGTTGGATGTGATTGAGAATGATATGCGAAGTGAGAAATTGAAAGTTTGGTATGAATGACTCAACCATAGTAGAGATGAAGGCAAAGATAAAGAACTATTTCCAATATAAATACTGTGCGGAGAAAAAATTGTACAAGATTTGGATGAGTTTAATTTTCCGAAAAAAAATTACATTCTAAAATCAATGTAATAGGTAATCAACTTTCCTTGCTCCATTTGAATCTAAAAGAAAAAAAATTGTTCTATGAATATTTACCTTCGGAAGAAATAATATCAAGCGATGGCATTTGATAATAATCAAAAATATTACAAAGCTGTGCAAGTTAGATATAATCAAAATGACTTATTAATGTTAAGTTAGTTATTAATTCGAGATTCGGTACTTCAAAATATTTACTGAGTAAAAAACTAGTAAATAGCATTTTTTTTTTTTTCTGAACTCTAATCTTTTTAAAACTTCACTCGCGGATTTATATTGGCTCATGCCTAGTGACAACCGATAAGACCAGCGGATAAGGTAACACGCACGACAAAGAAATAGGAGTTAGATGATATTATTAGGGGACATTATTTAAGAATTATAGAGAAGAAAAAAATCCGAGTTTTGTCAGAGGTCCACGTTTACTCACAAAGTAGAAAATATATATTAAAAAAAAAAAAAAAAAACATAATCGAAATAAGCGAAAAGAGCACTTTCAAACATGCTATTTTTTATAATTATTAATAAATGTTGATAAATGATTGATGATTATATTTGATGTTCGAAATACGGCATGTATTTCCGTGTCCCTCGTGTCCACCGCCTCTTTCTGGCTACGCCACTGCTAGCGATAGCTCAACAACAGCGAAAAGGGGGCGAAATAAAAACGTGTCTTACCGGTGAAAACCACCAGAAGGGTGCCATCGATTACCCACCGTACACATTTAATGTATCGTAATATATTGTAAATAATTATAATCTCGCGGACGACATCGGATGACACGGATACCCATGGCTACACCGCGCGTGTATTGTTATTGCCGTTATTATTATTTATAAACCGAGTCTCTTCTCACATCATCCGTCGTTTGTCATGCCCTTCGTTTATTTTTAATAACCCGTCCGAAAACCCGACACACTTTTCAATATCGCGCGCGAGAAGTGTATATTGTTATTATTGTTATTATACTCGCAGCGGGACCACCTGCCGCCACCTCTGTATAGGTGCCCGGGAAATCCGCGGGACAGATCTTCGCGTTGTGTCGTTATCGTCAGCGTTTATTATTATTATTATTATTATTATTATATATGAAGACGGCGGCGGCGACGACGACGACGACAACGATGACGACAACGACGGCGACGACCGTTGACAGGAGACGCTCGCGTTGTGTTGTGTCGGTACTTTTCGCGTTCGGAAACGCGCGCGCGACGATCAAAAACTTATTAATTTATCATTCGGATAATAACTTATCTTATAATTCCGGACGACGGCGGAAAATATCGACGACCCGGTCGCGTATTAACGAAATCGCGCGCCTACGAAATGTCGAGGGTACCGTAGAGTGTTGAAATCAACGACGGTTCTCGTGTTGACCGTGGTTCGAATCGAATTGCGTTTTCTCGCTCTATAACCGCCATTGTTGTTGAGAAATTCTTGAAAATTTACCAAAACTCAAAAGAGTAACGAAACAAGAGCAGTGTTTTACGTTATCTAAATAAAATATTTTTTTTATCTTTTATCTTATCTAGATATTTAATGAACTTATGTGTGGGGGATCGGGTTGAGTGAAAGTTTAGGCCTACTATAAATAGTTAAGATGAAGGCGGAGGAGTAGAAGATCTGTTTATCTAGATGATTGAATTGATTCAATTTTTTTCGTTTTTGGTTTTCTTGATTTTTGATGTTTAATTATATTTTTGAAGTAGATAACAGACTATTGTCTATAACTATTGGGTACTAATAAACTTGCCACATACTAATTGATATATAAGTAGTAACTAATTTACCTTTTTGTATTTAAATACTTAAGGTAGTCTTCGATGTTGAAAAAATAATTGTGTGACGTAATGTTTGTTATTAATTTTTAATACCAACAAATTATGACGATTTTGTGAAACATATATTAAAATCTGCATTATCGAATAGGAGATACGTAAAAAAAATATTACATTTTACTATTTCACAGGTTTTACGTATTGCGAAAGTCTTTAAAACCTAAACATTAAAAAAAAATATTGTTTTTTTTTCTTTTCGTAACATTAGTGAAAAATCAAGATTATCAAATTTTTTTTATCTAAATTCGATTTGTTCAGTTTTATCTATTTCTTCCTTTCGGTTTTTCAAATAGTTTTCGGTATTTCCGTAACTTGCGTCCCAGGAGCGGTTTTTCCATAGCGGGCCGAGAGATGGTTTTGATTTTCGGATGACATTAATCGACAACAAATTATATACTGTACAGGTGTACGCACGAATCGCACGACAATTTTGAACACGGCCCAACGAAAACCGTTCCACATTCAGTGCCGAACACCTCCACCGTTAATACGCACCCGGGTAGACGGTCTGTATCAATTTATTAAATCGGCAACGGCGGCGGGCGGCGGCGGCGCCTCCGTGACGGCGTTCGAATTGTTATTATTATTAAACGAACTCTGGCCAATTTTCAATAATTTTCCGGGCGGCTCCGTAGGCCGTGCGCGCAATAATTTTCCGCTCGGTTTCGTTCGCGGGATTATTACCATTAATAACCGTTTACGATTTTGTGTGTTTCTATCGATCGACGCGTATTATACAGGGTGCAACCCGAATAGCCGACAAGCATCCGACATTATAATACTTAAGTTTTACTTAAGTTCCGTTTGGCACTTTTAACGTTTTTTTTCTTCTCTTTTCAAAGCTTTGCGATTCCTCTGTGTTACATTTTTCGTTAGCGAAATGACGGCGTTAAAAATATTTACAATAACGACGAATCGTCAAATTTCTACAGTTTTCAGAAATTCACGAAAAAATCATTAGCAATGTTATTTTTTATCGACAAATATTGGCGAATCGATTAATATTATTTAGCAGCGGCAACGAAAACAATCGTTAAATTATCGTTTAATTAAACTTATAAACTTATATCAATTTCAAACAGTTGTAGGAAATTAACAATTAGTAAACATCAGTAACATCGAAATTGTGTTTCGAAATATATCTATAGCTATCGCGGACTTTGTAAAAAGAATCGATTAACAATTTTAATTTTTAGTCTGGAAAAAATCATAAAAAAAAATATTAAATAGTGAAATTATAGGATATGGCTCTAGAAATTGTTACAAGAATAAGAAACTTGAAAATGTTGAACAGAACAAACATTATTTCAGATTTCAGATATTTGTGTATAACATTGTATATTTTTTACATTGTGTACCTTATATGTACGCCGAGCAACAATATTATTATGGTTTCTCGTCACTCAGTGCCGTTGGAATTCTAGGCGGTTTGAACGGCAGGAAATAAACACAGGAGATAAAATCCCCCGGCTCGCAAATGTGTCATCATTATATTACGTAATATTATTAGTTATATACTCGTGGAAAATCGATTCTCGAATTAATTACCGTGCCGATTCGAAGTATTAAACGGTATTATTATAAAGACAATATCAGCATAAAAAAAAAAAATAATAATAATAATAACAATAAAAATAATGCATATAATTTTAGCGCATAAACTGTGCGTAATAATCTTTTCGGCGCTTTCGACGATATAAAAACGTCAACGTCAACGTAACTCTCTAAAAAAAATTTACATTTTATTAATATTTCACAGAGTTTTTCTCACTTATAAGCTTTACCATTTCGATTATTTTCGACCTTATATATGTTTTTTACATTCGACTAGGTTTTTTTTTCCTTTTGGATTGTCCCCAAAAATAGAGATAGTCGCATCATGTCTGTTATGTCTTTATCTGTATCATTTCCCACTCTATTGGAATACTTTTAGCGGTTCCCTCTAAACCAAATGTTCTAAAAAACTCAAGAATTACAGTTGCATTGTATGTGGATTGAAGTGACAAGGGGATACATTTTAGAATTTCAACACCCTAAAGACCTTCCCCTCCCAATGAAGTTCACAAAACAGAACGAGGAAAATTTTACTAAAGAATTCTGTTGCTCAGAGGTTTTTTTTTATATTAATTATATTTAGTTACACATTTTTCTTTCATGTAAGCACATAATAATAAATTATCATTCAACCTTTTAAATAACTGTGGATAATGATCACTCCGGTCTTAAGTTGTAGTTTTTTCAATGCTGGAATTGGTGAAATAAAAGAAGAAAGACTTTAATTTGTTATGATTTTAATAAAATTAGCGTCCCTTTCAGTTATCGAATTTAAACTAACCCGTGGGTGAGCTTCGCTTCCCATACCTCCATTACAACAAAACTTAATTCGTATAAATATAATTTATTTTTACCAAACGAAAATGTTAAAAAAACGTAACAAATGCTTATTATGAGTTGCAATTATTAGTAGTAAACAAAAACATATATCGAATGTAATGTAGCAATTTTGTTTTAAAATCGTTTATAATTCAAATTTTAATTGCAATTAATTAATTAAATATGCGTTCCACTTAAAATGAAATAAAGTAAAAATACGTTGAAATTTCTGAAAAATTGATTTTGTGACACCCCCCCTCAATTAAATAATTTTCAGCTTTTCACCCACATCAGTGGCCTACGCAACATGCCACAATATAACACGTCTGGTTTGAGATTTTGAGAGTATTGAATTTTTATTTCGTTTAATAATAAATTGTTAAACGTGTGTCGTATATTCAGTCGAGGTTCGCAATGATACCATCACTTTCAATTGACGAAACGTATTTTATAATTTTGTCGGACAAAATAATATTATTATGCTGTATGCGCCCGTAGCACTCGGAAAACTTGTTGTTTTTATTACTATCACTTTTTTTTTTTTTATCGGCCTGTCCGGTGTAAATACGGAATTTACGAAAATCAACCGGCCAATAAAAAAATATTAAATGGTCATCGTGAATACGGGTATTATAATTTGTGCCACGGGAACAACACCTGCATGCGTAATAAAAAATAAAAAAAATGTTAAATTAATATGGTTATATATTATTGTCATTTTCGGACGGAGAGTGAAAAATAAGCGTGCGGGTCGGCATTTTCAGGTAGTGTTATAGTATGGCTCTCGTGGAAATCAATCGCATCGGTGAAATATTGTTATATTATTATGATGTTCCGAGGCGAAAACCGCGAACGAATGATAATACAGAGTGCTCGTAATGCGTATAGCGTCACTGTGCGAGATTTTTTTTTTTACCGGGTTGAAATTTCCTTTGTTGTGGGCAGAAAACGCGGAGTGCTTTATCGTTTCCACGGTTTCACGCATCGCCTCTAATAATATAGGTACATATTGTACAATAATAATATAAACAAGTACAAACAATGTGGTGGTTTTATTTCTCTTTTTTATTCCGAATGTAGCGAATAAGCTATTATAATTTTACACACAATTCCACCCGGTGATTGTTTATTTGATATTTTTTCGAAAAATGTTTTGAAAAACACCAACAATAATAATTGACGTACAAAAACCGTAGGTTTAATTTTTATCGATCTTCAAGTTACACCGTATATTCGAGGGAAAACCCACAAGGTTTACCGAGATTCGATTAGGATCCGTTTATGATTGCAATCATCTATCGTCGCTTTCAGTATTTAAACCCTCGATACAAACTATACCATCTAATATCCTACAACTTCACACCTTTGATAGGTCATTGTTGTAGGTGGGAAGTTTGAAAGGTACAGGATACAGAGAAATTTAATTTATATATTGAAAGCAACCATTAATCATTTCAAATGTTTTATAATATTATAATAGTATTAATAATATTTGTTCGCCTTGTAGCTAAGGTAACCTAAAAAACCGAAAATTAACAAAAATAGAATCAATGTAACGATATTTTGTTGTCAAATTTTTTTTTTGTAAAGATTGTTGAGAATCTTGAAACATTTTTTAAAATAAATTAAATATACCACCGGACGAAAATCTGAATTTTTTAAAATAATTCAAATTATTATCAAGTAATTATGAGAGAATTTTTACAAACTGAAAAAAACATTTCCGAGGGAAGAGGACTAAAAAAGTATTATTATTAAAGAAAATGTATAGAGCCTATTTAATTATTTTACTATATGGCATATATATTGTTGAAAAAACATCACTATCAACTGAACTCCATTCAGTATCGTTTTTTCGTATTATAGTATTGGTATATATCGTTGCTATATCGTCAAAAATAATAAATTACCTATAACAGTGGCTACACCCGTCTCCATTATCCTAGAATATCTTTTTTTAAATTATATTTTTTAACCTTGCGTTTTCCAAATTTCATTAAATAATATTGTGTTGAAATTAAATATGTGTACTAATATTATTATTATTATTATTTTAAATATCGTCGAATAATTCGTAAAATAAATATTGTTTTAAAATATTGAAATATTTTTAACGTTTTGTCTGTGATTTGTGTCGTGGATGTAAATATTAGTATTGTTGTTGTATTGCCTGCGGAATAAACAGTTGTGGCCTTATTATTTTATGTCTTGTACAAGAAAAAAAACCGATCCCGAGAAAACTATTTTGAAAAGCTAAATATTACAATACAGTTATATTCAACAAAATCATTCCTGTTTTCTACTCGTGGAATATTGACTTAGAAAAAAAAAGAAATGAAATGTTTCCTTTGAGAGATGTTTATACACAATGAACTGGTCGATTTGCGAATAATTATTTTAGAGTGCACCTTCGCAGGGTATACAATTCGATTTATTTCCGAGTCTTTAAGCCTTGAAGTCTCACGAACGTCGTCGTCGTACGACATACCTAATACGAGAGAAAAATAATAACTAAGCCGACACTCCGAAAAAAAAAATACTACCTATACCTATTATTATAATGATTATTTTAAAGAATCAGTATGTATTTATTATTTTCGTAGCGTAGAGGAAGTGTTTAAATAAATACGAGACGACTGAATACAAATTGTCGCTTATCGTAATATTCAGTGCTCGAATCGAGAGAAGAGGTGAGGAAGTAATAAGGATACTCAAAAATGCAGTAGGTATTTACAATTTGCGTTCCTAATGACCTTTATTTTATTATTTTATAATAATAAAATAATGACTTGTATTAGTGACGTGTCGTTTATAAATACTAAAAAATAAAAGAAACGGACACACTTCACACGATAGATGGGCCACTATTGTAGGTGGGAGGTCGGTAAACTAGACGGGAAACGATTAATCATTGCCTACGTTTTTTCCCCGTTTTTCCCATTTATTATGAAAATCCCTGAGAAAATCAAAAAATGGCCTCCTTAAAGTACTACCTCAGTCAGACTTCCTTTCGGAAAAAGTGCTACACATAAAAATATGATCAAAATTTCTTATAAAAATGTTATTTATAGAAAAGAAAAAAAACCATCATTGTATAAAACCTGTAATACATTTCTCACTCTGCTTGTTCAGAGTCTAAAAACGTACGTTTAACTATAAAAAGAGAAACATTTTTAGGAATGGTAGGATGGGTAGTTTAGTTTATATGCTTTACGCAACGGTATAAATCATTTTTCAACGAAAAACTGATTCTGAGTAAATTACGGCTTTACACAGTTATACATAATTTAAAAACTAGTGAACTTAAAACACTTATTGAAAAAAAAACAACTACAATATGTTCAACTTTTTTAAATTTTTTACCACGAAGTACAATTTGTGTTAAACCTCGTGTTAAATTTGCAAGCATTTCTAGTCAGCCAAAACGATTTTATCCATATAAAATAAAATAAAAACTAAAAAAACTCGAAAATGTTAAATAGTTATAAATAGCTTAAAGGTAACAAACAATATGGTTTTGTTTGTGTTAGATTCTAAGCGTAGCGAAGAATCTTTACTATTTTTATTAATACATGTACTTTTTTCTTCTAGAAAACCATGTTTTGGGATAGTAAAAATGCTCCGCATTCATACAACAACTCAAATAATTAGGAATTTACGTCCGCATTTTAACAGTGGAAAGATTAATTTTTGTTAATTTCTGGACTGTCTTAAAAAACGAAACAAGAAGAAAAAACACGGTCAATAATATGATAAGTAATAACCTTAACGGCTTAACCGGCTTTATGATTGCAATGATTTTTGTCACGTTCAGTGTAATAAACCGTTTAATTTCTTCTAGACTTCCCACCTAAAACAGTAAGCTTTTTTTTGTAATTATATTAATTAAAAATACGGATTTTAAATGTTATTTTGTTACATAGGTTTTTAATTATTTAGTGGGGTTTTTGTGAGACTTTCCGGATTATCGAGTATTGCCTTTAAAATTTAATATAAATCACTTTTATTTTCATTAACGACTAATTTATATTTACGGTTATTTCATTTATTTCTTTTCGATAAATAAATACTTTCGTAGTTTACGATAAATAAATAATAAAAAATAAACAATCATTAAAATATTTAAAATGAAAAAAAAGTGTTGGTTTTTGTAAATATTATTATTATTTAACGGCGATTATTATTTCTGAGCGGACGAGTGAAGAAAGTATTGCTTTAACTATAATAAATGTTTTTTTCTATCTGTTAAAAGGTTTTCAGATGGAACGGATTATTATAAAGTTTAAAATCTAATTCAGTGCACTAGGGCGGTAATTTTTAGAATATTTTTGTTGAACATCGTTAAGTAAAATCTATTAATCGAAAAATTATTCGAAAGTGTTCATAAAGTCTCTCCGTTCTTTGTAATATATTTGTTTCTCTTGAAAAATTTGATTTACGGAAATGTATATATTTTTGTCGAGTTCGTATGTTACGGGTATATTAAAAAGTCGGGTATTGTGCACAGTGCCCAATTAGATTTGGGCATTGTAGATTAAATATTAAAACAATTAAAAAATTAGTAAAAAAATTAAGTAAAACAATTTACAAGGTACTTTAATAAAAATAAAAAAACTCGCATTAGATGTTTCAAATATTAGTTAGGTACCTATTAATAGTTTTTTATTATTCATTGAATCATTGTCAGGTACCACTCTTACTATCGAAGAATTAATATTATTATCTAAAGGTGGTTTGAAATTATAACTATTTTAATAGTTTTATTATATTTAAGTGTTAAAAAAATGTAATGTTTGCTACGTAGTTTATTATATTATTTTTATTATTACACACACCGCTCGTATTATGGCATTTTGAGTATCAAAGTCGATCATATTGTTTTCATTTACACCGGCTGGTCTTACATAATGTAGTGTAGGTACCTTTACATATCGTACCTTTGGCCACTCTAATTAGAATATATTCTTGCGCTTCTCTTAGAGAAATGTAATACCTCTAGTACTTCGTTAGCCAGGATAAACGCCTCTTTCCATAATATCGTGAATTCATACACTAAAGACAGACTATGCTAGGTCGTGACAGTAATCAATCGAAAATATCGAATAAAATCAATACTAATACAAATTAGATAACGTATTATCAGTACACGGAATTTACACCGGTGTATTTACCCAATTTATCCAATGCTCATATATTTTTCATAAATTAAACAGGTATTTCGTAAGTCTAAAACGAATAAAATGTTTAGTTTAAGGTAAAAGTGCCATTTATTGTAAATGCGCCCACTTGATTCGGGGAGCAGGGTAAACTCTGTTTGGGTACTATCGTACAAATATACAATGTAGAACGAATTGGGAATATTAAAAAATTACCCTTACATTACCCAAAATATTCGGGTGTTGTTTTAAATTACCCGGGTATCCTACTTTGCCCGTAACATATAATATACGTATCGCTAAAATACAGTAAAATATCGAACGATAAGAAACAAAGAGATAATACGTAAACACGTATTACGTACACAAATGTAAAACGAAATCAAAAGAAATTTTACGAGTTCATTATTCTCTTTTATAATTTTCGCCAAGAATGTTTGGACGATGCGCGCCATCAACACCACCGCGAATCAAGAATAAAAGTAGGAAACACTTTTGTTTAGTTTATGGCCTACCATATCATTCTTCAAGTTCAAAATCGGAGATTTATGATACAACTATATACACACCACCAACAGCAGTCTACCGAAACCTTTTATACTCGTATTCCTCCCGTATAAAGCTTTTTGTAAAATATATATATTATCTCTACCGTGTATAGGATTTTGTACTGCAGCAACGAAGAAGAGCGTATTTTTATATATAAATTAAAAGGGTCGTTTAATTAAAAAAAAAAAAAAAAACAGAAAAAAATAATGAAATAAAATACTAGTTTTTAGGGAATTTGGCAACTACTGAACACCACTATAATATAGGTACTTACAGTGACACATTTAGCCACGGACCGTAATTGATAAATTATCACTTTTTTGAACTTAAAAGTATACAATTTTAAACAATATAAAATATGTATGTAGAGTGATTCATTAAACGTACTCATCCAATATTTTTATTAAATTCTGCATGTATTCAAATTCTGATTTTTGGAATTTATAAGTGTAGTCAAAGCCAAAAACTTAGATTTTTAACAATATTTATGGGGTATCCTGTGGTGATAACAAATGAGAACTTTAAATACATTTTGATGTCGATATTTTTAATTTCCGTTAACTCGTTAACGAAATATTCCACTTATAATTTTAGGGAGGGGAAGAGCAGTGAAGAATCATTTGTGTGGTGTTATGATACGCAGCGTTTTATTAGTGCTCCACTACTCTACCCCTACATAAATCAAAATGTATTTAAAGTAATAGATACTCCATCTATTTATGTTTTTTTTTTTTTTTAATGTAGGTTCTCATTTGAAAAACCAAAGTTGATATCATCACAGGAGACTCCTTATGAGATTACTTAATATTATGAAAAATCTCAGTATGTGGTCGAAAATATCGGCTTTAAAATTCCAAAAATCATTGATAAAATCTGGCTACGCCACTCACTATGAAAAAAATGCACCAATAGATCCTGTTAGAGGACTCGTTTCATTTAAATCGTACTTTCTTTCTATGTAATTTTTAATTTGTCCACCCTCACCCTTAAGTCCTACCTCAAATTACACTACTGATTACCATTTACCATTTCTCCGTCAAAAACTAAAAAACTAATATTCAAGTAAAATTACACGACATTCAAGTTGAAAATGTATAAATATATGTTTACAATTAATTCGAAACTAGTAAAATACTGCAATATGTGACCTGTAAAATATTTTAACACGTTGTGATTATATTGATTTGTTTTTTGCTCATATTATATAGTAATATACATTTTTATCATTTGGGAGATTATTTTAGTGACAGTAAATTAAGTTTTGAATAATAATAATAATAATAATAATTGAACAATACCAAAACCAAACGGATTTCGGACACGTCGTTTTTTCTAAAACGTGTACGTGAGTTTTAAACAGTAGGTATGATAACGCGTAGGGAATGAAAATGATGCATTTATAATAATATAAATATAAACTGTAAACACGTTTGTTGATTCCTGATGTAGTGCTGTACGAACAGACTTAAATACAAATTCGACCTACCAGTAACAAAATATGTACATCTTTTATTTCCTAATATGATATTAATAAGGTCTAATAAGAAAAGTCTACAAAAATATTTAAAAAAAAGTTACTAAGCGACAAACCTATTTCATACCTATTACGACTTTTTGTATTGTTCAATAAAAAAAGTTGTCAGACGTGTGTACCTGCAGGTTAGGAGACGTGTTCCAAAGGTTATAATTAGATGTGAACCGATACTCGATATCAGTTTTATTGTTATCCAGGATTTTTTTTTTTCAAAACTGATATTGATCCAATATTTTAGTAGAAATCTAGAAACTACTTAAATTTAGTAGTTGACTTTAGTAGCTGCTTTTCGTTCGGTACTTGTAACTCAAGTAATTGACTCTTAGAACTCGACATGATTTCAAAAACCCAAAAATCGCCTGACTTTAATAGATATAACAACGTTAATATTATTACGACGTCGCGCGTCGGGTACTCACCGGTCGGCGGCCGTAGTCAACGAAATTGTTGACTGGTTTGCGCGACGGATGCGTTACCGCGGTAGCCGTCGTTTTCGCACGGGAGTTTCGCTGACGCGGCGCATTCGGTCACACTGTCGATAATCCCTCGCGTCAGCGCAATCGGTTCACCCCGACCGCGTCCGTTTCCCGTACGGCGAACCTCCTTGGCGTTTATCGCAACGTTCGTGAAAATCCGGTGGTCGGACACCACTACCTCCGCGGCCGTTCAACTTTCGCCGGTTCGCCGCGAACCGGATCGTGAATATTATTTTTCTCAACGATAGCGCTGTTTAAGTGTGGTTTATTTTTGTTTCTCCTGTCGCGAGTTCGTTTCGATTATTTCATTCGGACGGTGCGAACACGTCTGCGATAAATATACGTGTGTGTGTATATAAATATATCGAACCGTAAAACAGATAGCACATTACTAGTGCCGTCAATTGTCGAAAACAACAAAGCAATATAGGAGACATTGTCGTCGGTGAGTACTCTGAACGTCATACCTACAGTCCCGGAAAAAATTACAGTTGTTTCTCTTAATAATGCGACCCTAGGCGATTATTATTACCTATTATTATTATTGTCGTCCGCGATTTTTTCGAGGGTTTCTCGGCGATGTAGTTGTAGGTCGGCGGACCGCACCGAACGCCGCCATCTTGTATTGGCAGTGGGAGCCCGTCTCGTAAATGGCCAACCGCGGTCACGGTGAATCCGCAAAGGAAACGCGCGTTAGCTGCGTTGGCGTGTTACGCGATGTGGGCAAGCCGTACCGCGCGATGCATTAATTTCGATAACCGCCACCACGTTCAGCGAATATTTTTCCCGTTTAATCAAAGGACGCTATCAACGTACAATGTTCGTATTAAAGTCTAAGGGGATTCACCACACTACACCGTGTCGTGTAAAATAATTTTCTCCGATTGCTGAACCATTGACGTGGTTGCATTCAGGCATACCATATTATTATGGTATATCGTTATTTGGTCACACGATACCACATAGTTGAATATATTCAACTTATCTACAGAAAAATGATAACTAAAAAATATTCATATAATTTATAAGGACTTTGGTATCAATAGTATTGCATTTTAGTACAAGCATATAGGAAACGAAGGCATACGATCATTAAAAACCCGACACGACACTACATGATGTTGTGTGAAACCCCATTTACAAACGCACGACATACTAAATTCACGGTCGTCACAACTGATTTCGTTCTGATATTAGAATGAATTGACCTATCAGACTTAACGGAAAGAAAATTATCCTTGTTGGTACGGTTTAGTTGTTTTTTTTTTCTTGAGTATTTTAATTTTCAAGACACGGGTGTGTGAAATATTATAATTATTTAATAATGCTCATATGCGCAAAGTTGTACAGATAATGTTTTAACCTATCCTTAAGTTTGATTTAAAAATAATTTATTCCTATAGGAAAATTAACAGCACGAAGTTGTCCCTGCTGAACGCAAATTTGTTATACCGTAAGTTTGCAAGTCGAAAAAGGTTCGTGCGAGTATAGACCTATGACATAACAATGATATACAGATGGCGATCGAACGAAGGTATTAGGGGGATGCATCCCCCCAATGATGTTCTACACTTAAATATGTTTAACACTTATAATATTAATATGAATGATATTGCCCATATATATATATAAAAAATTTAAAAAGGTTAAAAATATAGTTCAAATGATAATAATCATAGTGTAGACAATGCTAAAAAATTAGCCTTCATCTCCCATGGCACAAACATTTAACTACTACTAATAGGAGATGAATGAGTTTACGTCAATATTAAAGAGTCCTCGTCACTACCATTTGTTTTCTCTGTTTCGCTCGTAATATATAGCAACACAAAAGTATTGTACACTTCCACGATTCTCTCCGGTAGCGATTAGGGCAAATATATTTAATAAAAAAATAGTTATTTGGATCCTGCTATGGTTTTTATTTTCTATTAAGATGTACTTGTATAAATTGAGTTTAAATTTAACCGCTAATAACTTAAAAATAAATTAAAATTTTAAATAAGAATCATATTTACATATATTGTGGCAAATCTATATTTTAATAGGTCTCTTATTTGCTCTGATCTCGATCAAAGAGTCGCAATCATGTAAATTTAGAATCCTTTTGTCGTTGTGTTATGCGCGAGACGGATGGAGAAAACAAAATTTATTGACAATTGACGAGATCCCTTAAGGATGAAAACCTTTATTGACCACAATGCCATGGTCGTTAGTTGTCGATATCTTATTTCGTTGCTATTCGAAAAAATCCAAAACGAAAAATTAAATATATTCTAATATTATTACAATTTTTAGATTCTGATCGGAGAGAAGAATTTATTAATTTTACAATAGTAAATTTTTCTGTGAACAATTTTTCTACCAGAATTTGAAGTGTAACACCTTTTATGAAAGTTAATTTTCGTGGGATTATACTTTTTAAGGAGGTCTTTTTTTGATTTTCCTAGGAATTTTCATAATGAATGGTGAACACTGATAAAGAACTTATTAAAAATGGAAAAATGTACCGAATGAATTTGTTTCAAACCCTTTATATTAAAAACTTTTCAAAACATATGTAACCCAACTCTGCTCAGAATCGTTGTTCGTTAGCAATGGTTAATCCTTGCGTACAAATATACATTAGACCTTCTCAAATTTGTACCTACTATAGTGGTCTATCCATCGTAGGAACAATTTTGGTTTGTTTTTTTAAAATATTATTATAATATAGCGTGAAGAAATTCGGGATTCATCATTAAACGCGTGGTTAACATTCTTGAATACTGCGGTTTTATGACGGCAATGACTGATATTATTAAACATTTACGATGAGGCGTTTATACGACGTAATATTATTAATGCATTGTAGGCCCAGGGACCCGTAAACTTAAATGTAAATAAATTAACAAAAAAAAAAGAAAAAAAAGGCATCATATAATGTACACGATGGGTATCAACTTTTTTTTTTGAATTAAATAATAACAATGTAGGTAATAAAAATCGAATTTACCTGTAGCGAAATTTTCCGTTTTATTCGAATAAGTATATACGGAGATAATGGTGTACTCAGGGGAATAGCTAAAAAGCTTCAGTTCTCCTTCTCTATTCGTCGTGTTAAATACAAAAAAAAAATTTATAAATTATTCAGTACTGAAAAATTATATCTATTTATGTTAGCTTTTTATACAAATCTACAATTTTATTCTAATCTGGATTATTCTTTTCACGCTTAAAATTCAAGAAAAGAAGAAGGTTACTGAGGATTTATTAACTGTTTACTTCTTATCTAAAACCTTGTTGACCTAGAGTTTTCGGAATTTTCGGAAAGAAAATTGAATTTTTTTTGTTGATTTATGAGTTACCTTTAGTGACACGTATATATATATATATATATATATATATAAAAAAAACCAGTTATTATTATTTGATTTGATTGTCAGGGATAATAAAGAACTCTTTTTAAAAAATATAAAATACTGAACAACAACTATTGTGATAGAGATAAAAGTGATCCAGGAAAATACCAGATAATTCAACTAGTTTGCACTACTTATTCCACCACAACAAAATAATTAACAAACCATTGTTACAATATATAGTTATACATTTTGCAACATTTTTGTTTTTATTCAAGTTTTTCAAACATATCCTCTTTTCTTCATTGAACACTCCTGGGTAAACCACTGTACAGAGAGATCGAAGGTTCCGTTTTTAAAATCGAAATCCGTCGAAAACGACTACAGTTTCGTCTGAATTTTATGTCTAAATTGACTAAAATAATATACACCATCCCCAACATCCTTATATTTAATTTTTTTTCCAGTTTTCTTATAGACATGCGTTGTCTGTGAATTATAACAGTTTAACATTTAAACTGGAGGAGAAGAAAGAATGACTATATTGCTGTAATCTAAAAATGGGTACAACATTGAAGCTATTTAAAAATTAAAAGTTGATAATATGTGATGAATACGGTATATGGAACAAGGGTGACATTTTAAAATATTATACATAAATATATTTTGTACTGCAGTGACTGAAAAAACCAAAATCAATGTAACGCAAAATCTTCATAGATAAACGCTGGATCACAGAAAAAAAAAATCACCCTATGTAATATACACTGCAAGGTTGCAGACATTATTCGAGAGTAACAATATTAAATTTTAAATGTCGCCTAGGCAATATTGCTTTTATATTATTATTACTCGTCGTTTTCCTTACAAGAAAATATAAAACAGGGCTTAGTAGGGAATCGCAGGATATAAAACCGATCGATAAACTACCACATTGAAGAAGAAAATATAATAATTTGAAAGATATAATTAAGGAGAGTTAAAATGAATAAACTTTGTGTTGTATAGAAACGTGGGTATCTGTCACCTGGTCCGCGATCCTTTCTATTTTCGTTTGAAAACCACATGATTGCCAAATGAGAGGTTTTGAACTTTTGACTTCGAAATAATCCGAGAAATTTCCACCCGTCAAAGTAAATACGACTTATTAATATATTTACAAAGTTCTGTACAAAGAAATATTTGACTTTAAGGTATCGTTGTTCATTTTGAAGTAGTTAATATTTTGATTGCATCCAATGAGGAATGCACAATGATTGATGTGTGCCTCTTTCTAATTTTTTTTTTCTGTCTTTAATCAAATTTTCCATCATAAATCCTTTTTACAAAAATATGATCAAATTAGTGCATTGAGGAAGTTACTTTTTTGATTTTTCATTTAATTTATTTTAATAGTTCGTGAAAAAGAAAAAAATTACAGCACTAATAGTTTTAATATTTTTGATTGATTCAATTTAATTTTCTACTAGAAATCTATTCTACCGGTATATTTTCTTAAACACAATTTTCTTTATTTAATTTATTAGATGGTAAATTTTCTTTGTAATAATAATTAATAACCGGGAAAAATATTGGAAAAACGTGAAACTACGAATATAACAGTTTCATTTTTTTGATTAATTTTTTGTTGTTATTTGGTTAAAAATAATTTTAGAAATCTTACATTGGTCTTTTCTAGATAACATAGTAAAATTTTCAAAATATTTTGGAGATTTTTGAGTTATTTATAGAAATTCGATAATTTCTTGTTTTTTTTTTAGTTTTTATTTAGTTATTGTCGATAAAATTGTTTTTCCTAGTAGAAATGTTTGAAAATCAAACATGAGTTTCTTCCCTAAGCTTTTTTAAGTCCAAATGTTGACGAAAATCGTAAAAACCGCGGTATTTCAAAACATATTAACCAGACTTTACTCAGAATCGTATTTTATTAGTTATAATTTATCGTTACACATACGAGTATATAAATTAAATAACTTTATGTATCATAGCATCACATTTTATTTTATTTTTAGTCTTTTTCTGAAACAGATGAATAATTTATTGATTAAAGCAAAAAAATCTATGACAAGATGTTTTCCCTGAATTGATAAATCGTCTGTTTTCTGTACGTTATTTTTAAATTTAATCGTACCAATATGAAATTATAATATAGTTTTTAGGTAGATAGGTTTAGGTGTACAGCAGTTGTAAACTATAATATAGGTTGTAAACTTTTTTTATATAAAACGGTAAACATAAAAGTATCATAAATTACCGGTTTTATCTTTTATACGACCTATAACTACTACTGCTACTACGAAAAAAAAATGATTAATAAACTAAGTATTTGTGGTAACATAACGATAACAATCGCGTAGGTAATATATATTTTACATAAAACATAATATATGTACGTAAATCCTCGGTGAGGATTAAATTCAAAGTAGAAATTAAAAACACAAAAATAAAAAAAAACAAAATTGATTGTATGCAAAATGTGGCGCGTTAATAAATACCAAAAAACAGCTAATAGTAGTTATACTGCCGTCTCGTATCTGGTTAACCATTATTCAATTTCCCCAACGAACATTAAAATATTAACAAATAAAACTGTTGATTTTTTATTAATTTAAAAAAATAATAATAATAATAATAAATAAAGGATTATAAACTGGTTTGATTATAGTTTGTATTATTTGTTAAATTTACAATATTGTTATTATTACGTTATTTATTTTTTTTTGTAAAAACAAAACTTCTAACGAGTATATCAGCGTTATTGTCGATGAAAAAAAGTTAAGATGGCTAAAATAAAAAATAATTTTTATAAACTTGTACGCCACTATAAAACATAAATTATTGCTTATAAAAGAAGATTTTATGAGAAGTTCGGTTAAACATATTTCCAAATATCATGGGTTTTAAGATCTTCATCAAAATTTTAGCATATAGCTTATAAAAATACCACTAAATTACGCTGAACATTTTTAATTTTCATTTGTACCCTCCAGTACACTATATTATATGATGGACCTTATGTTAAATTGTAGTATTTTTTACTTTGAAAGTATTATATTTATACATAATTATATATTTTAAGTATTTTGACACGGGCGATGATAATTATATTCAAATAAAAAAATTGACAATTTAAAATGCCTATAAATAGCTTAAAAAATCGCCAGAATATTTTTAAAATTGTAGTCTGCCTACATGGTACTAATACGAGTACTTAATAAAAACAAAAAATTCATGTCTATAATTAATTTTCACTGGATTACAACAAAAAAACAAAATCGAATCTAATAGAACCCATGCGTTCTTTCGAAGTTTTTTCTTTCATAGTTAAAAAAAACACTATAAGAATAATCAAAAAAATGAGGTTCTCAAAGTACTAGCTAGACAACAATTTTTACTAGAAAAATATAAATGAAATAAGATTTCTGGGCGAAATGATGTTAACTGTTAGAAAAAAAAACTCACATCACAATACAACTTATTGCTCAGAATCCAAAAAATATTAGAAAATTATTAATAATATTCTAATAATAATAAACAATAATGTAATCCTTTTCAATAACATTTTTTCCCTCAAAATATGGTATTCAATGATTTCAAATCAAAAATATAAGTTTCTATGTTATCTACATTAACTTACTTTCAATTTCTATTCACAGTCCTAACGTATAATATAATAGTAGATTTTCATTTAGAAATATTTGAAAATTAATAACTATCCGAGTATGGGTATGGGATAAATCATAAAAAATCTGACAGGAAAATTGGAAAGATATAATAGTAGGCATATCCTCACAAAAAAGTAGTATATTCTCAATTTGCGTTTATATTATAATATTTTATCTTCCTGTATACCTATTTATATTTGAATAAAAAAATATTTTGCTCACTCGTCTATATCATTATCATACCTACGCAACAGCCAAAATATACAATATAAATGTTTCTAGGATAACATTATAATATTTTGTCTTCTCGCTATGGTTTTCGATGGGTAGGTAACTAATTTTACTGTCAGTCGTCGGCTCTTTTTTTCATTAAGGTAATTTTACTATTTTAGAGTTCGTGTTTTTTTTTCTAGCGACAAGTGTTTTTTGAACAGAATACTAATTATTTGTTTCCTTATATAAACACGTACAAAACTATATAACAGCAATGATATGCAATATTAAGCTCTTATATACAGAGTAACACAAAATGATATAACTTTTATTCCGTAAAATATATTCTATGGTTTTTTTTTTGTTTCGTATATCGGTCTTAAGGGGATTCCCTTATCTTCTTTTGCCTAAAAAATACTCTGTAGCATACAAATTTAGATCAATTTCCAAATTTCAATTCAATTTTTTTGAAATTAAGGATGGAAATTCGAAAATGTGGTCAAATCGATCTCACGTACACTTCACGGTAAATTCAAATCTGTTTTTAGAATTAGTATTGCTTTACTACATTAACTGATGAACAACAAATTAACTTAAATTTCTATGCTGCGTATATGACACACATAAAAAAAATAATGAAATTGTCGTTCCGTTTCGAATCTTCTTAATAATATTTGAATTTCGGTGCGCAACATTATAATCAAATAATATTATTTAAAAAAAAAAATAAATAAAAACTTAGTAAAGAAGATTGAATAGAACAGAAGTTTATTCATTTTTTGCCAAATCGTATACTGTCAAATCACCCTGTACATTATTATAATAATCGATCGATACGAAGATATTAAACTTCTCCGTATATATATTCTGAAATAATGTTTGTACGGTAAACTTCGATTTAAAATCAAGAAAGGATGATAATACCGTTTATCGATTACGGTAATATAATGTATATTACTATTTACAAAACGTATACAACGTCACGTCGTGTCTTTGTACCCGTCAGTTACTATTATTTCCGATTTTATTTAAAAACTTTTTTTTAACCGTCCGATAATTTTTGATTATACATTTGTTCGTCGTATACATGCGTTCGCCGTTATAACCCCATCCACGTGGTTCAATTTTTTTCCATTTTTTTTGGAACAAGTGGACACCCGTTGACAAATTGATAACCAAAATCATAGAAAACAGGTATATTAATCTTAAGTCACTGCAAAATTTTTAATTTCGGGTTGCACACATCATTGGGTTTTATATTACGAATTTATATTTACGGTTTCATGTCATCCCCTTTTACTTTTTATATACAGTAAAATCTGTCTTATCGGACAAAACAAGAAGGACCCAACTAAAATACATTTGAATCTTTTTTAACCTGTCTATTACGAACGCGGAAAGTAATGTTTCTCTCCGTCGGCCTGATAACGAACACAAATTTTATAGCAAAAACCACGAAAACAAACGAATTTTACGTCCATCTGATTACTTTTATATCACTGAAAAAGTTTATTGTGTGGTGAATATATAGATATACAATGTCCTATTATTTTATGTTTAACACGAAACCGCCATTCCGCTCTGTTTATTCAGAGTCGTTTATCTTTTTCTTTACAACGACATCTCTTGCGGAAACTGTTCAATTTAAAGCAAAAAGTGTAAATTATTTGGTATCGGTAAAACGAAAGTATCCTAATAAATATTTGGTTATAAAAACAGTAACAAATTTTGCGACAAAAACCTGTATATAACAGGCAGTTTTGATGGTCTCGTGACTGCTCGGTATAGTTAGGTTTTACTGTAATACGATTTGTTGAAACTGCTGCAGTTAGTAGGTTGTAACTAAGTATATTAGTATTGGGTGTTAAGCATATTTTTAAGCAACCCAGTAATTATTATTAAAACATTTTTATAATGTTGATTTAGCAAAATCTCTAAACCCTTCATAAAGAGGAGTTACGATACGCCTTTGTAATTTCAGGGTTACCGCGGTGGTTTATTGATTTTTATAATAATAGGTGGGTATTATTCAAACTTAGAGACCCGAGAAAATAAATAGGAGTACTAATGAAAATAAAATATTTATAAAGCGTTCGTACAGTTTAAATTTTAAAATATATTTTGTAAATCACCGCCACCGGTTGGATATTTAGTTTAATTGCATCTCGTGTTAACACCTACCTGAACGTTCGGAAAAAAACA